ATCTGGCTCCTAAATACCTCTCCAATGACCAAAAAAATGGTTGACCAAATGAAAGTCAATCCATCGAATGGCCGGAATCATTCCCAAATAGGTCAGCTGGAGCAATCTTAACGCTTGGTCAAAGTCCAATACTCTGATAAGGATAGCGAAATTCTGGAGGACGAATTTTCAAAATAACTAATTACCCAAAATATATATATAATAAAATAAAATTAACTAGGGATATGCTTTATGCTTAGCATGTTTCAGTGTAGAAGACAAAAAAAAAAAAAATAATAATAATAATAATAATAAAAATGAAGAGTACATAAATGTTGATGTACAGTGAAGGATGACCTATAGTGTGAGCTAAGGCGTGGCTATATAGCAGGCGCTTGATTGGATCATTATAGTATTTTAATTGATCCTACGGCCGGCAATGCAAGATGTACGCAATGAAACAGACAGGTCCGTGAAAGTCAGGCACGCGCCGCTATGGTCCGATCCTGTTTGGACGGCCAGTTACAAGGACAACTCAAAAAGCTTCGTTAAGACATTAATTAATCACTTATTTAGTTATTGCAACTGGACACACCTGATCTCACACATATTATAAATATAATTTAGTAAAATAAAATAGGCCGAACGACTTGTGCATACCCAAGATTTACCATAACGATAGTTGATACCCAAAAGGTTTTGAAACGATAAATAGGTACCTTCCGTCATGTTCTGTTAGTGATTTTTGTTTATTAATAGTGAAAAGACTAAAATGCCCTTCAAAGTTTCAATTTTAGTTTTTTATAAATTTCAAATTTTCTAAAAAACCCCCTAGGTTTGCTAATTTAATTAAACACCCCCCCATATATAAAGTTTGTTAAATGACAAAAACACCCCCACCACCCCAGTGCCAGATTCCGGCCACCATCGCCGGAATCTAGCCGGAAAACTGCATTACGACACAGATCCCCGTCGGATTTGTGTCGTAACGTGCCATTCTGGCCTTTTACGGCCAGATCCGCCACGGATCTGGCCGAAAAAGGCAAGATCTAGCCGTCGAAGCAGCAGCCAGATATGGCCTTTTCCGGCCAGATCCGTGGCTGATCTGGTCGGAAAAGGCCATATCTACTGCCAGATCTGGCCGTCGACGCCGCAGATGGAGTTTTGCGGCGTCGACGGCCACATCTAGCCGTAGATCTGGCCTTTTCCAGCCAGATCAGCCACGGATCTAGCCGGAAAAGGCCAGATAGACGCATTACGACACAGATCCAACGGATCTGTGTCGTAACGTAACTTTTCGGCGCGATTCCGGCGGTGGTGGCCGGAATCTGGCATTGCGGGTGGCGGGAGAGTTTTTGTTATTTTACAAAATTTTTATATATTGGGGTATTTAGTTAAATTTGTAAACTTAGGGGGTTTTTTAGAAATTTTTAAATTTATAAAAAACTAAAATTCAAATTTTTAAGGGCATTTTAGTCTTTTCACTATTAATAAATAGAAATCACTAACAGAACATGACGGAAAGTACCTATTTGTCATTTCAAAACCTTTTAGGTACCAACTTGTCGTTACAACAAATCTTGGGTACGTGTAAGTCGTTCTCCCAATAAAATATTTATTTACAGTGCAGTAAGAATGTACAGAGAGAATTTCCAACCAATATTTAGAACATGTGAAAATTTATAAGTTAATAATACTGTATTTTATGTTCAAGTTGACGACTCTCCGAGTTCTTCTGCTGGGATTATAATAATCTTAGAAAATTTTCAAGTTAATTTTATCGTGTTCCCCCTCAGTGAGCATTGTTTATGTTAATGCTATTTAGTTGAAGAATTATATTCTTCCCTCCAAATTTTATTGGATCCAAACTGCAATCCAAATATGAACTTGTCTATTATATTATATCAGACTTCTAAGTTCATGCACAGAAAGACCCAGTTTATTTTATATTTAACCATGGAGGCACCATTAAATCGTGACGAAAGCACAAGGATTAAACATTCATAATCCAAGTCAATATTAGACGTTGGCCCATTTCCAGAGAAGGATCATTAAAAATAATGAATTTGAGCATATAAACACACCAGTTGTCAACTCCTGCAATTAACAATTTGATTGAATAAGATATGTCTACTCGTATATACCTCGGAAGATATGAGATTCTTTTGTCTAATATCGATGAACACGAGATTCCCTTTTATAAAATAATCTTCAATCTTTCATCACCATTAAGCCAGTACCATTGTAGTACATAACATTTTATATGCATTTAATCCATTTATTTACCTAACTAATCTTACAATGGCTAACCCTAATCAGACCTAACCTCGCTGTTTGGAATCTGCCGCATATGAACAGTGTTTCTGACAATTTAAATTACAAACCCAGTTGGCGTTTCAAACATGTTTTTAGTTTTTCATATGTTTTAACTGCATTTTTATAAGACCCAGATGCCTTTTTCGCATTAAAAAAGACTCCAGCTCAAAAGTTAATCTAATTAAGCTAAGTTTAATGGATCACGGGTTGTGGTTTTTTAAAGAGATGGAATGACTCACAACGACGGTGATGTTTATTCAACAACCGGCAGATTTGTTCTATACTCTCTGACAAATCAAAAACTCGGGCGAGACGACATTTGGGAACTTGTGGTTTGTTTTTCTTATTGTCTTTCTTTGATATTTATTGTCCCTGAAACCGATTGAACTCATAAACAAACTGTTGCTTCTGATAATTATTGTATTGCAGAAATATATAAATAATTTTTTTCAACAAAAGCTGAGAGGTTCCATTTTCTTTGAGCTATATAGTTCATAATATTAAAAAAATAATTTAAAAAAAAAAAATTAAAACAACAAAAGCAGGAAATTCTTTCACTTATTAATCAGATTTGATCTTTCATTCCTTGTTTAAGTGTCTTCATCTGCCGACCCACTAAAATGGTGGTTTATTCCTGGTTCACTGGCATCGTGGCTTCAAGAACAAAGTAGAATGTGTGAATGACAGCAAAAAAATGCAGTGGGTTTTTGAAGGAAGCCTATAAAAGTATCAAAGTTTACAGAAACAAAAACCAAAAGGAAATTGGCAATAACAAATGATAGTGAAACAAACTCCAATCCCTAATCCTAATCATAATCCTACAATGTACTTAGCGTTAATTAATCAATCTCTGATTAGTTAAATTATAATCAATACTGGGTAAAGTAATAAAACCATAGTTGGGGGTCGGGAATGATTCCTACTTATTTTGAAAGCGCTTCTTGTAGACCAACAGGCTACATATTTGTCTTCCACGTGGAGCGATAATTTCAAGTGATCCCGTCTCTTGACTAGAAATCTAAAAAGCCAAGTCGTTTTCTTAAACTTTTTAGGCCACGTCATGACTAATTAGATATAGTGGTTTTCTTAAACTTTTTAGGCCACGTCCTGCCTTGGATCCACACTGAAAGCTGAGGAGGGGCTGTGACTGTGATGGCCACACAAATTAATTGCTTTTGTTAGAAGAGAATCAACTCGTTAATTAATCAAACATTAATTAATAAAAAAGTGGGTTTGTGTTCTTGAAAGCATCATTAAGGAGTTAATTAAGGTAATAAGACGGTGACATTATTGTTAAAGAAATACAAATTGCAGAAACTTAAGAATAGAGACCAAACACAGAGTTGTTAATAGCGTTGTCTTCTTTCTATAATGACAGGGTTTTGTTGTGGAAGATTAGTGGGTAATAATTTTGGTTAAGTTGTTGTTTTCTTAATTCAAATTTATTAAAAAGGGAGGGTGGTTGTATATTTGAAGAAAATGGTCACCACAACAGTTGATGATGTTTAAGCTCATTATTGTTTGGTTTGTTGAGTGCTGACCAAATTTTTTAAGCTAATTCATTCAAAAGCCTTGTTTTCATGCCATTACTTTAAATTATTTTTAAAAAGAGATTATAATATGTTCTTTACACTCTTTTGTATTTATTAACTTTAAATATTATCACTAAGAAGCAGTAATTCAAATGCATTTTTTTGATATTCAAAAATAATTTCGTTTATTTCAGTCAAGTTGCTATAAGATGAACATAAATTATTTATTTATTTATTATTATTATGATAAAAATTTCATGCATTTCCCTTTAGACTAGTTTGGATCTAGGCCCATCTGAAGCTGACGATATGACAGACTTGGGCTTTGTTAGCTGGGTTTAAAATTGGCAGGGTTGAATTGAACTAAAAATGAAGTCTTGGACTAGGTTTAGGCAAAGCATAAGAATTGAGAATGAGAATGTAGTCAAGGACTCTCAAGGCGTTACTTAACAGTTAACAGTGAGCACTAGACAGAATTAAAAGGGATAATAACAATGTCGTCCCTGAGATTTGGTATAAGTAACACTTTAGTCTTGTAGAATTTCATTATCTAGCTACTAAAGTTTTAGCGCTTGTGCTGCAAGTACATCATCATTTAGAGAAAAAAAGTTAGAAGTAATGCGTACAAACAAATAAGCTAATGCATAATTCCGTAAACGAAACCATAATAGGCTGATCATAGCATCATAGTATGCTTTACTTCAAGCCCCATAAACAGTATTTCATCATCTCATCATTTTGTCTAAATTATAAAAAGAGGATTCCTTTACTCATTTAACAGTTGAGAAATCAACTGTAAGGAAGCTTTACATGCAACTTACAGTAGAAATCCTGAAGGAGAATCCAGCATAAATACCAACAATGCATCTGTCTTCCAATGCTCATCGAGATATATACATCATCGTGGAAAGATATTTTATAATTTTAGCACCCAAAAGGAGGGCTTAAAATAGCAGCTTCTTCCAACATCATTGTGGGAAGTAAAGCAACTCAATGGATTATTATGTCTTTCCAGAAACTAAAATAGAAATAGAATTATTTTAGACTGTCAATTTTAATTCTACAATTTCTGCACTTGTATCATTCAAGGGGTAATAACTTTAATCAATACTGAACACATCACACATGTGAATGTCAGAATGTAACCTAGAAAAAAAAAGTGGTCTAAACTCATGCATGCCACAGTGACACTTTGGATTTTGATTCAAACAGTAAGTAATACATTTAGGTATTGAGATACAGCCAAATTAGCCAAAAGACAAAGAGAAACTAGCCTAAACAAGAATCTAAGACCAAAGAAAGTGTTACGAGTTTCATATAAAAGTACTGTATTCTCTTCATCCAGATCATTATGAAGACATTATTAACAGGGAAAATCCTATAAAGACTGGACAAACCTTGTTGTTCCTGATGGGATCTCGATTATTGCATAGATAGACTACCAACGGATGATCCTTCCTTCTGATTTAGAGAGACCCAGATTGCCTTGGCTGCTGCTATGGCAGAATCTCCCCTCTTGATAACTTTTTCAATCTCTCCAACCTTCTCTGATAGCAACCTAACATTCGTGTCGGTGGACTGAACCAATTTATTTGCAGTTTCCAGAGCAGTGCATAGCTGATATAACCAAGAGAAATTTACTAAGAGAAGAAATAAAAAAGGGATGATAGAAACCATTTTGGAAAAAAACAGACTGGAGAGTCTGGTGCAAAGGTTGAAAATATAAGTCACAGCAAAGAAGATAGAGACTTGTCTTCAATGATTAGTCAAGTGATAAATATGAAATTCATGCCAAACCACTACCATGTCACCTCCATTTCCACCACCCACAAATATATATATATGAAATAATATACAGAAGAGAACTCAATGTCCAAGACAAGCATCAGTGATGCTGAACATATTCTGGATCATTGAACCAGAGGCTGTTACGCATAACATTTATATCCTTCAAAAGAGATCATTGATTACCTTTAAAGTTAGAGCTGTCCATGAGTGATCAGAACCAGAAAGTGCCTCATTCAACTGATCGTAATTTTCCTGAAACAGAATGATTGAAGTGAATACGCTTATCATTGTAGATATACATAAACCAGTGCGTAATAAACAAAGCCACAGGCAGATTAAACAACAAGTAGAAACAAGAAATTCAGTTCTAGAACATGCTGAACACCTTCCATCTCCATAGGATAAATAGTAAAGTTAAACTTAATACAGAACATGATAAAGGGACTATATACTTACAGCATAACCGAAGTTTGTTTATCACCTGGCAATTCCACACAATATTTTATACTAAACTTATTTTTCCCCAAACAGTAATCAAATTCTTTTTATTCTATAATGCAATAACTTTCTTTTTACCAAACAATAATCAAATTCTTTTTCTTTTTGCTAATAACCCAGAAATCCCCTAAATCCACTCAACGAAATCGAGTGTCTATTGATTTTGCTCACACATATCGAACAGGAAGAACTAATGAGTATAAGGCAAATGCAGCTTTACAATTGCACTTGGTTTTGGCTTAATTAAAGATGATATCGAGAAATCTACAACTCAAAAATTCAGCAAGGGAATCCTAAAAGCAGATTCAACAAGTTATCTAATATACAAGTATGAAATGGTACACAACACTCAATTAACTATAAATTTAAGCGAAAAAAAAATTCATTAACCTGGCAGATGGGGAATTGAATTCGTAGTTGATAATAAGAAAAGGAAAGAACCTGAAAGAGATTAGCGAGGTCCAATGGATGAGGGGTATTATTGGAATCTTGAATCGGTGAGACAGGAGTATTATCTGGTGGTGTAACATTCTCTTCTCCGACGTCGCTTAGCAGATCTCCAATTGTCAGCAATGGCCCTCCTATTCCTCTCATCTCTCTTTCTGTCTCTCAAATTCGTTTATTAGTTTTTGGGTTTCATAATTTTAGGCATACGACTTAACTGCAGTGTCGGTTTTTATTTTTGGTTGAAACGACACCCAGCTTTGACGTTTTAATCAGAATAATATACTATTGACATTGAACACTGCTCTTAAACAAGAAGTGAGATTAGAAACTCAACACTGATTGTGGCGCTTTGCTGTTTCCTTTTGGCTGGGGCTTTCATCAGGTGAACTTCAAATCTTACTTGCTCTTATGGGCATCGAGAGATTTTCTGAAATTTCTTAACTCTTATATTTTTCGTGTCTTGGGTTTTGATAATATATGGGATTTTTGCAGATCAAGAGAGCACGATTAGTTAAAAGAGAGAGATGGCAAGTCAAGAACCAGTAAAGCAACTTGAGGATTGCTCTGTCTCCAAGTCAGTGTTTTTCTTCTAATCTCTTAATCCGTCTCTCTGTTCTTTGGGGTTTGTGACTGCAAATGATGTTCTTAATTGGAGTATAGTATTTGTATATTGACATTTTAGTTTGGTTTGAAGTTTATTAATTTACAGTTAGTCTGTTTGAAATAACATTTTCCTGAAGATTGTTGAAATTTGTTCAATATTGATACTTGGGAGTGCTTTAGCCCTTTGTAGTTGTATTACTATATGTTGCTCATGCATGGTTTCTTTTTAAATGNACACATATCGAACAGGAAGAACTAATGAGTATAAGGCAAATGCAGCTTTACAATTGCACTTGGTTTTGGCTTAATTAAAGATGATATCGAGAAATCTACAACTCAAAAATTCAGCAAGGGAATCCTAAAAGCAGATTCAACAAGTTATCTAATATACAAGTATGAAATGGTACACAACACTCAATTAACTATAAATTTAAGCGAAAAAAAAATTCATTAACCTGGCAGATGGGGAATTGAATTCGTAGTTGATAATAAGAAAAGGAAAGAACCTGAAAGAGATTAGCGAGGTCCAATGGATGAGGGGTATTATTGGAATCTTGAATCGGCGAGACAGGAGTATTATCTGGTGGTGTAACATTCTCTTCTCCGACGTCGCTTAGCAGATCTCCAATTGTCAGCAATGGCCCTCCTATTCCTCTCATCTCTCTTTCTGTCTCTCAAATTCGTTTATTAGTTTTTGGGTTTCATAATTTTAGGCATACGACTTAACTGCAGTGTCGGTTTTTATTTTTGGTTGAAACGACACCCAGCTTTGACGTTTTAATCAGAATAATATACTATTGACATTGAACACTGCTCTTAAACAAGAAGTGAGATTAGAAACTCAACACTGATTGTGGCGCTTTGCTGTTTCCTTTTGGCTGGGGCTTTCATCAGGTGAACTTCAAATCTTACTTGCTCTTATGGGCATCGAGAGATTTTCTGAAATTTCTTAACTCTTATATTTTTCGTGTCTTGGGTTTTGATAATATATGGGATTTTTGCAGATCAAGAGAGCACGATTAGTTAAAAGAGAGAGATGGCAAGTCAAGAACCAGTAAAGCAACTTGAGGATTGCTCTGTCTCCAAGTCAGTGTTTTTCTTCTAATCTCTTAATCCGTCTCTCTGTTCTTTGGGGTTTGTGACTGCAAATGATGTTCTTAATTGGAGTATAGTATTTGTATATTGACATTTTGGTTTGAAGTTTATTAATTTACAGTTATTATGTTTGAAATAACATTTTCCTGAAGATTGGTGAAATTTGTTCAATATTGATACTTGGGAGTGCTTTAGCCCTTTGTAGTTGTATTACTATATGTTGCTCATGCATGGTTTCTTTTTAATGAATTGCCTATTTCAAGTGTTCGATGTTCCATAAACGAAATTTTAGAAATACCACTCGATTTTCTTACACGTGAGTAGCATAATGTTTTTATCTGTGACTAAGTTGCATATTTTCATTGCCTAGTACATATTTCGGATTGGGACTAGGTTAACAGGTTCATATATTGTCTATGGTTTCATGATTATGTTGCAGTTCGTTATATTAAAACAGATTCTGAATCATATACAACTTCTGATATTTGTCAGATCATGTGTGGTAATATCAAATTATGTGTTCTAATTGACAAGTCCAGATAATTCCAGGGAATGTTGTCACAGTTGTCCACCCACATCGACATTTGACCTATTTGATGCCCACCCATCTTGCAATGCTTTTAATGTTTTTTTGTGGACTAAAAATCCTATATATACTTGCAATTGTTTTGCCTTCTCTGTTGTCGATCTTGAACTATCGAGCTAGGTGGAAGCCAGAAAAAAAGATGATAGTAGTTGAAATTGGATTGGCAGTTTTAGGTTTACGATAAAATACAAAAAATTTCAAAGGTATTAGCCACTGCATTATTTCAAAGTAGCTAGGAGTTCAGCAAATCTGAAGTAGTTTGTGCTCAGATGGGCTACGATTTATTAACCGAAGCATGCTTATAAAAAGTGTTTTTTTGTCATGAGATGGTCTGTTTGAATCTTAACCCTCTTGAAAGTTGGAATATGTAGCTCAACATTCTTAATAGTAAGAAGTTGTTTATTTAATTTCATGAAGTCATTCTTGAGTTTCTCTTGCATGTTAGAAATTACAACCAAATCTTTTCATTAAATATTCTTTTTGGGCATCAAAATGCAGCCGTTGTTTGAAGTGTGAATTCAGTCTTACGAAATGTGAAATCTTTGCAGTGCATTGGGTACATGGGTATTCTCAGTAGCCGGAGCTTTGCTTGCAATTCCAGTAGGGATAAAACGGAAATCTTTGGCACCCCTTGTATTTTTTGGCACAACTGGGACAATGCTTGATATTATCATGGGAATCACAGCTTGCGAAAGAGAACATGCAGAACGCCAAATGAAACTATTGGAAGCCCAAAATTCTGCAACTGATGCTTCGTTAGCTGAAACAGGATCTGAGTCTTGATATGTTTATGGCCAAGTTCCTCATTTTTGAATGCTGGCAGTTTGTTTTTCTTGCTTAACTGGAAAACACTGACTTTCTAAGCGTTTGATTCTCCTCATTTTTCTTTGTTTCGACTTCATGCTCACTTTTTTCATGGGATAGCCAGTGACTTCTAAGTTTAACATAATTCGTCCATATCAATATAATAGTGAGTTAAAATCACAAGGGTTCACAAGCCTTTTACTTAACTGTTTGGATTTGCCCTTTTGGGTTATTTGGGAAGCTTAAGATATGGATACGCAAGTCAAATAAAATGGCCTTAGGTTTGGTCCAAATTCAAATTCAAGTCTATATCTATATACATCGATTAAAGATGATCACAGATAACTTTTCTTTAAATAAGATGGTTATGGTGCTTATGTTCTGTCGTCTGTGTTACATAAAGAAGTTGGAAAGAATATTGAATAATCTTGAGCAAGAGGGTTCATATGATATTTATACACTTCTGAAATAGAGTAAGATAACATTCACCCAAGTTTAATGACCGTGTTAGCATGATATTTCGTCATGAAACATGGAACTGACGCAGAAACCATTTCAAATCTCCCATTTTCCCGATCTAGGCTGGAATTTATGGTCACCTCAAATTCTAAAGGGCTGTTCTTTCCTCGCTTCAGCAGCTGTTTTAGAAGAATCAACCAAATCAGATAGAAGTTGATGTTTCTATCACATTGGTATTTTTCCTTTCCTTCCAGGCTCTTGTTTGCATCTGGTGAGTGAAAGCATTCAACTCCTTCCCTAGCAACTTCAGGAAATATGGCATTATTATGATTCTCCTTTTGAACATAATTTGCATCTGGGTGCTTATCATGTTTTTTCCCTAGATAGCATTGGTAGACTCTTTCAGCCCTGATGTTTCCAAACAAGAGTTCAGCAGCCTTGTTTCTAACAAGGAGTGGCATGTACTCCAATTCATCCCAAACATATAACTGCAGTCGAAGCCAAAAGAGATCATCAATGGTTCACTAATTCGAAGGAGAAGATGAAATGCTTTTAAAACCATTAAGAGAAGTTATATACCATAAAGGGCCTATATATCAAGGTTACTACATGAAGTCGATTAGAGCTTCTTTCACAGTAGAGTGGAACAGAGTTTTGTTCAGATATAGACCTATGTGGAGGTGACAAAAAAACTGAGTAATCAGATGCCATATAGAAGGCATTGCAATGCAACACAACACAAGTATCCTCTTACGTACCTATATTTCGAATCCAAAGGCAAACCACATAGATGGCAGCCAGTACAAATGAGATCTTCTGCTAAATCATTATTCTCAATTTTAGATAATCTCCTGCTGATGAACAACTTTTCGTATTCAATATCACCAGGTGCTTTCCAGGTTATTGGCAGAAACATTTCACCTACAGATGCATTAAAAATTGCCTTACAGGTATCGGTTAAACGTGATTCTTCTGACAGCAATAGACAGTTCAAAGATTTCTTCTCTTCAGGCACTTTCCAATTCCTCAAGAGTGGTCTATTCTGCAGTGCAAACCATTTAGGATGATGTAGTCTAAAGGATATCAAACACGAACTTAAGAAAAACAAGGTTATTTAATATCGCAAGGGAATAAAAAAATTGCAAATTACATTATGCCCTTGACAGAAAACAAATCGAAGTACTTCCCCATCACAATATTCAATCAGTACGGAATTTTATGAACTAATTGAAACTACACATCTTCACCGAAGAAACCTTCTTTACCAGAATGAAATCAAATGCAATAAGATAGAAAAAAGCACATAACATTGCGCAACAAGCGCGAGAGGACACAGAGAATACCTGAGAACTGCGCAATTCAATGTGAAAATTGGATTTAGTTTGCTGCACCCATTTGATTACCTTAGAAAGTTTTTCCTTTATTGTTTTACCTACTTGACAATCCATCATCAAATCATCTACACCTGCAATAAAAAACACCAGGCCCCAGATGTTGGTCAAGTAATTTGATGTCTATACTAGAAAATCCAACTTTCTGAGAACAAAATGTAAAACCTTTAGAAATAAGTGATTCATAAGGGTGGATCAAACGTTGCAACGATGAGTACTGGACAGTTCTGGCCTCAACAACATCTCCAAATTTTATAATCTTGACATCTAAATTGACAACAAAAAAAGCGTATGAGTAGTCAAAACTTCTAAAGTATCACTTGCACTATTTCAGAAAATATCAAGAGTGAAAGCTAACAATACAAATGACAATACCACATTCCAAATTCCCACACTTCAATATCCACAGTAAAACCCCCAATCCATATCGAACGTAAGTGACAAGAGATTTAATATTATAAACCTATACGTCAAGAAAGAGTGAAATGGGGATCTCACTTCGTAACAGTATGACATCACCAGCGACTGCCATGGATCCCATTTGTTTTTGCCACAAGCAAACTGAGAAAAAAGGCCGCGTATCATCACCCACCTGAATGTCGGTTCTAATAGCCTCTCCACCTTTGGATAACTTGTACTGAACGGGAGTGGATCGGTGGACGAAGACCAGAAGCTGTACCAGATCACCCACATGAGAAGCGGCTGTCTGAAGATCGATTAAGGGTCCGTACCAGCCAATTGCAGATGCCATTTTTCTTTTACAGAATTAATCATGATCATATAATTCATCAATCTATATATTTCTCCTCACTTGTAACTAAAGTTTTTGGCGCACAATTTCAATAAAGGGATTTGCGGCGGCTATTTGGAAACCAGTGGAATCATTTGCCACTACTTAGGTCTGATCCTGCTTTTCGGGCAGATGGGACCAAAACACACGGTTAAAATGTAAATTACAAAATTTTATATGCATCATCATTCTAATTAATTCAAGATTTTATGTCAACAGAATAATTAAAGTTTCTGTAAGTTCTTTATGATAAATCAACTTCTAAAATTTAATATAATTTAACAAGACAAGAGTAATTAGTATTAAACAAGTCGAAAATTTAACAAGACAAGAGTAACTAGTATTAAACAAGTCGAATCGGGATGACATGCAATGTCAACTAAAGGGGGCCAGGGAAAAATGAATAGAACATATTATTTAACACTTGCATAATAACACTTGAGCATACTACAAATCTTAAAAAACTTGCCAAAAGGAAAAAAGCTAAAACAAGATGTGGCCACCCAAAACCAAAAATTATTGGGTTGCAGTCAAATAAGTAAATATAAAACACAAAATAAGCTGAAAAGCTCAGAGTCGACGCACTGGATATGGGCATATATTATACTGAAACTGGCCCCAAATAAAAAGCGAAGGCGAATTCCAGCGAGTAGCTTTTGTCAAAAACAGCCACTAAAGGTCAAGTCAATGAAGGCCCAACCCTTATTTACAACTCCCACCCGATGATGCTCCAGCATGAGACAGATTCACGTAGCATTGGCAAATGAAACCATAGATTTCCTTTTATCCTAAAACTCTATTTCAACTATACACTATCTTATCTACAACAGAGGTTTGATTATTCCGCACAAAGTACGGTGAACTTTCATCTCCTCAAGTAGGCTTCCGTTATTTGATCTCATCACTTCCAAAACACATTACTTGATTTCATCACTTCCAAAACACAATTTACCTCAAATACGTGCTCATGTAGAGCCGCACTCCAACATCAAGGGGTCCATCATCCCCACCAACAGCAGAAAGTGCCACAGGAATTGTTGAAAGGAGATTCACAGTCATGGGGAAAACCCCGGGATCAATTCCACAATTTGAAATGGGATCCAAATATGGGCGAGTTAAATCAGAGTCGCTCCCATTGGCTGCAATGCACTCATTAGCACTGCCTCCAGACATGCTCTGCTCCTCTTTTAGGTCGCAAGGTCTTACAAGCAATGCAACATCTTCAAGAGGCCGGTAATTAGTAAAACCACCTCTCCTACATGATCGTTTGTAGGTACATAAATTAAGCACCAACGCAGATGTAGCCTCAAGCCATTCTACTTTCAAGCCTTCAACTTCATCATAATATATCCGACGTTCAATCTAACAAAAAATGTGTTTTGCATAAAGAAAGACATTAACAATAAAGTTAAACAAATAAAAGAAAGGAGTATACAAGTTTCAGAACTACTTACAGCTAATTTGTGAATATAAATGGACATAAATCTCGGCCCGAGACCCAAAACTCTCGCTTCAGACAATAAAACCTGCAAACAGAGCAGAAGACAGTAAAACATAAAGCTTAACTATATAAGCAAGCATCAACATTACTAAAACACATGATCATAGAACCTTTCCCTACCAATGGCAACCACTCTAATTACTCAGAAAGTTCACTAACAAAAGCACATCAGCAATCCAAACTGTCAGTAAGCCACACACATCATAGCTCAAATGATCCAAGAAGAAGAAGAATCACCATATTATTGCAAAAATGGGAAAGATACAAATACACTAATGCAGACCACACAAGTACTTGAGTTAAGTAACCTCTCCAATGGCACTCTCTTTTATATTTAACCTTATACTCCCAACAAAAATAAATAAATATAACACCACATTACTCACAGTGCAGTCCAATATATGAATTTGATCAAGGTCTTACTACATATAAATTGATTGGAATCTTTTATTGTCTCCCCTTAAAATACCTATGTTTATATTAATAAGAAATCTACTCTCTCTTAAAAGGAATCTATTTCGACAACCACTGAAATTAATTCTAGTTATTAGCTCCTAGTACAGCCCCTGCCCGTATTAGCTACTCTATAAAATTAAAAAAAAAAAAAAAAAATTAAAAAAAATTAAAAAAGAAAATAAAAAAAAAAAAAATAAGAATAATATAAAAGCAGGAGGAGGAATGTACCTCTTTTTTCCTCAACAAAACCCACATGTAGAGTTTGTCACTAGCATCCTTAACATTTCTACAGGCCAACTTTCGGTTGTTGCAATGAGCAGCAACATCAGCAAGTACATCTGTGCAAGGAACCCCATGCTTTAATGCGGCGACTGACAATGCTTCCCTGCCTTCCATGGATTCTAGAGCATCTTTCTCATAATAAATGCCAGTTAAAAATCTTCCTTTCATTTCATTCCTTTGCTTTTCTTTCAGGAACTTTCTTTTATGGTTCCACAAGAACTCCTCAGCTTCTAAAGCCGCCGCCAATGTACGGTGCACTACAATATCAGGATAACGGCGCAGTGGTGAAGTGAAATGTGTATACAGAGGAACACCCAGTCCATAATGGCTTCGGTCTGCATTATCTTTGAAATCACCACTACAGAAGTAAGATGCCAACTGCATTGGTCTTGCAGCATAATTCATAAGAATATTAAACAGCACAGAATCATCCTTGAGCTTTTCCCGGAATCGTTCCAGCGACTGGTGAAATTGACCAGAGGAAGAAGTGTCCAATTCTAAACCATGCTTTTGACAAAACGCTTCAAACTCTTTAAGCTTCCGTATATTAGGTGCAGGATGCCTCCGCAATAAAGCACTCTCTGGAAAAGCTCTACAGATAACTTCAGCAGCTGTCCTATTTGCCAAAAGCATAAACTCCTCGACCAGAAAATTCGAGTCCTTCCTTTCCGATAGCATGCTGTCATATGGAGTTCCATCTTCATCACGTAAGAGAACAGGTTTGGAAGTTTCAAGCCGCAAAGCCCCACCACTAAACCTCTTCTCTTTCAGAGTTTTTGAAACTTCATGAAGACTTATAATAGATCTAATAACATCAGCCCACTCAAAATCGCCATACAACTGTGGAAAGCCATTTCCTGATGTATTAAAACTTTCTGCATCAATTTTACCATCAATAATATCCTGAGCAGTTTCATATGAAAGCTTGCAACAGGATCTTATAACAGTGCGACCAATCCAACGATCTACAACATTCCCAGAAGTGTTTAAATCCCAGAAAATAGAAAAAGCAAGTCTATCTACTCCAGGGTTTAGTGAGCCTAGATTCTCTGAGAGCAAGAAGGGCAACATTGGAATTTTACCTTGAAACATATACACACTATTTGATCGTAACTGAGCTTCTATGTCTAATGCTGTGTCAGGTAAAACAAAATATGACACATCCGCAACATGGACACCTACTCTAAAAATGCCATCAGATAACCTTTCAATTGATAGAGCATCATCAAGATCCGTGGCAGTTGACGGGTCAATTGTAAATATGCACAGATTTCTAAGATCTTTTCTATTATTAAATTCCTCAGGTGGCACCCTCCAAGGAACAGAAGGAAGGCAAGAGAGGGATTCCGAAGAAAATTCAGAACAACAAACTGCATTTTCATATAAAATCGCATTAATATGTGGCACCACTTCACCACCTCGTCCAAAAACACGCGAGACATGGGCTTGTGGAAAAGGACTTTCTTCACCCCAATAAAGGATTTCTGCAGCCACCAGCTCCATTTCAAAAGTAGCATCACCTCCTTCTAATCTTTTCTTGATGCAGTCAGGTAAGTCTTTCACCAGGACCATCATTTTTGGAAATTTTGGATCAGTGGGAGTAAGTTGGATACACTCGTGTTTAGAAATCAACCCACCCTTCTTTGTCATTTCTTCTTTGTACCCATCCCTGTAATTAAGCCATTGGTTAACATTAAGATATCCAACAATACAATCTCGACGAGGAGAGCTTTCAATGATGGCTAAAACCCTGCCAGTCGGTCTTTTTAATGGATTTAAACTAATAGTGGCAGACAACCTCTCAACTGCATCCAAAACATCACACTGCCGACTAGAGGAACCAATATATGTAGAATCTGAAGCAGCCAGGTGGTGTCCATTAATGTAATTATAGCATGCTGGTTCAAGACTTTCTGGATGAGAAGTTTCTCCAGGAGAAGAACCATCCTCATAATGGAAATCTTTCTCGGGAAGCATTGTACAATTTGAATTGACATGATCGTAACCCAGATCTACTTTATTTTTTCCTTTGTGGATATCACCATGTTTTTCACTTGCTTCAGAAAGCAAGATACTATCTTCTGCCAGGGCCGAATTGTTTGGAAGACCTTTCATCTTGGTCCACTGTGATAAAGGATCAACCTTAATCAGCACAACATCTCCTTCCACCTATGAAAATAATGTTTCAACAATTAAAAAATTTCCCCAACACAAAAGAAATATATCAAAAAACATCAAAAATATTTTTATACACAAGAAAAGCACCCAAAAGAAAAGAAAAAAGCACTTCATCAAGCATCTTGAAATAAATGTCAATCGACCAAGGAAAATCATTCAATCATTAAAAGCTTAAAGAGGATGGAAAAGAAATGACTCGTTCAAACAATGAACATGTAGATCTTAACACCAGGAATTTTCATACAAAAAAAGAGTACCAAACAAAAATTCCATAAAGTTTCTTGACAGATATGCAAATCAGTGCTATTACAAATAAATAAATAGATTAAAAAAATTCAAATAATAATAATAATAATGCTGTAAACAATTCCAGACTTACAGCTCTATTCTGTGCAGCAGTCCCACTAATAAGAACATCAGTTTGTACTCCATCAATTTTGCAATAGGCCTAACAATGCAACGACAGAAAATGCATAATATTGAGCCAAAAAGAGAAAAAAAGTAGAGTAAAACAGGCACTAGAAAACTTTAGAAAAGGACTAATACCAACCTCAAGTCGATTGTGGGCATTTACACGAAACAATGCTTTTAAAGCATATCCTTTCTGCCAGATATAGGGGAAGCCCAAACAAAAAAAAGAAAAAAATGAGCTTATGGGTATTCAAAAATTGTATATGCAAGTCAACATAAATTTGAATAAGCCTTAGGCGTTTAGAATCAGTGGTACGAACCTCTAATGCCTCATTAACTGCTTCTGTGGACAAATGTGGAAGAAAAATTGGACTCTGAGCATAACCATCCCCATTTATATATTCCCAGCAGTCACGGGCAGACGGTGTGGGACACGACATTGAAACTGTTTTTCCACCAAGATCGGCAGGCAACAGATGATGCATGCTGCCTGCCTCAACCAAGTCTTGTTCATTTATATGCATTGTTGGCATTGAACTGAAAGCAACGTCAGATGCTCTAGTTGATTCTTGGTCATTGGAAGGATGCAAGTCCAGGACATGCTGCCTCGACGATGAGTAACTCACAAAACTCTTTTTGTTACCATTTTTTAAGATCTGTGTAGCTTCACCATGTATTTCACTTATTGAAGTAGAAGCTGTTCCAACAATTAGTTAAATCAAGAAAATAAGAAACATGAACAAAGGTATGCAATCTAAATCAGGATCAAAGAGGAATGACATAAACAAATTGCACTAGCTTCAGCAAGACCAACCACATCACCGATGTTAAAATCATCCAATCACGGTAGATAAATAAAACGTTGAAAATTCAATAAATAAAAATTGCCATGTGTATAGACAAATAGTTAACTCAGCTATTCAATACTAAAAGTAATAATGTTTCCACGAAAATATAAGGCGGTTATCCTCTAATCCCAGCAGACCCTACTACCAAGTATTGACAAAACTTAACGTAAAACGACAGAAAATATAAAACTTGCAAAAAAAAAAAAAAAGAAACCCTGCTAATCTACTAATACAACATTTCAACAAAACTAAAAACGTAATTTTCTATCTGTTCCGGAACTGCTTTGAGTACAGAAAAATAATTCACAATAATTATAACCAAATATGCAGCAAAATAAGTTATCATACTGTTATTGATGAAATGATTTGTGTACACTCATGGACTCGGCCTTTGACTATGTCTTCTCAACGCTAATCTAGGGCGGCTAGATCGACGATTCTTCTTCTTCTTCTCCTTATCAACACCATCCTCAACAACAGGTTGATCAGCAGCACCTCTCATCATAATTTCAATAAAGATACTCGAAAATGCAAAGTTTAGAAATAAATAAACAAACAAACAAAAAAAAGAAAGAAATAAAAACCTAAACCAGATTAAAACAGTAGCATCTTCCGATTAAGGTAAAAAATAAAAATAAACGGAAGAAGCAAAGACAAAGAAATATGTGAATCTAAAAAAAAAAAACTAAACAAAAAAAAAAGAGAAAAACAAGAGAAGATAAGAGAGAAGTTAGGGTTTTATATAAGTGGAATTATGAACAGAGAGTAAATAAAAAGACAGTAGCGAAGAAAAGGACGTCATGATTGGTCGGCGTAGACATGGGGCGCCGACTGTCGATTCCTTTGTCTTTTATTTCACTTTATTTTCTCTTTTTTCTTTTCTTTTCTTTTATTTTCTCTTCTTCCTTTTAAAAAAAAAAAATATATATATATATATATATATTTTGAGAAGTGACTAGTGAGTAGAGTGAGAAGTTGGGGTCGCTGGATCTGGTGACACGTGTAATTTCTATTTTGGACTTTTATGACTTATAGATACTAACTTGCGCCTATTGGTTCCCAGCTACCGCCACTGTCTTTCAAGTAAATAGAGAGATATTTTAGCAATGGTAAAACATTTTTAACAAAGCATTTATCAGATATTTATTTGATTATATCATTCTTTTTTTTTTTAAATTCAAAATTCGTTTATTTCCTATCAATCGTTTGACTTTAAATTTGTCATGTGTCTAAATTCATATGTTTATTCCTTTATTTTCCTCTAACTTTATGGTTTTTTAGCTAACCTAACTTCAATCCCAACAACAAAATAAATAGCTTTGACTCTATCTTTTTGAATTTAATAAGCTCGTGTAATAAACTGGACCCAAATAGTTAAAAAATTTAAACATTTTAACTTTATAACATTTATAATAAATGTTATATTTAGTTCATAATTTTAATACAATATCTTACAATAAGCTAGTATTCGATATTAGGTTTATACAAATTAATTTAGTTGTGTCGATTATAATTTATAAGGGTAGATGGCATGAATGGGTAGTTTAAATCACGTACTATGATTAATATCCAATAATTTAATGTGGTTAGTAAAGGAAATTAATGGCTATTATTGTTCCTTGCTAATAAGTATAAAGTATAAACCGAAAGATGAGACTACAAACTTTTTGACTTTTCACTAGTCCATAATCATGCAATTCAAAATTTTGGACACCAACCATGATAATATTAAGAGTAAACGACTTTTTTCCCACCCAAATAATGACTTAATGAACTTTCCCTCCCATAGACTTTTAAAATACCATTTTTTCACCTCAAAAAAATACATTTCGATTCTACGGTGAACGAAGAGTCAACTCGATCCATTTTTTAGAACTTTTGAAGAAAGGAAGTTGTTGAGTCTTTTGATGGTGGAATGTTGGATTTTGGTAACCGTGATTGGTTAGAATTTGACTTGAGAAGGGCGACTGCACAAACCTTAATCGTTCGATTGCCGACAATTAAAAGGTTGGCGAGAGTAGGGTGATACAAGCCAAGGCGAACACTGCCCAACTCGCAAAAATTATATTGGGCTTGAGCCTGGCAAGTTCCATAAAATGAGGATCAAGATCGAGCTTGATAATATTTGTGAGCTTAAGTTTGGTTCGTTTAGCTCGTTTATTACTCGAGCACAATTCGAGCTCGAGCTTAGCTTGTTTAGCTCGCTCAAAATCCAGGTCATTTTAAAGCTCGTTCTGAAGCTCGAAATCAAGCTCGTTTAGGAGTTTTATATACAAAATTACAAACTGGAATGGAAACCAATCAAATTACACTTTCAATTGAATTCAGGTTGAGATGTTCACAATTATAGAATCCAGAGGAGAAGCTTGTTGACCAAGATTTTCAAGATTAAGGATCCAGTACATAATACATATAGATAGGGACTTTGGATTTGTCTCATTCATATTCACAATACAATGCAATAGAATGGCCAAGCCAACTGCTTCCAAATTCAACAAAAATCAACACAATATAAAATTAACCCTAGATTGAACAAGGATTGAAGATTGGTATTACACAAGTTACAAAACAAATACCTCTTACTGANTACATAATACATATAGATAGGGACTTAGGACTCTGGATTTGTCTCATTCATATTCACAATACAATGCAATAGAATGGCCAAGCCAACTGCTTCCAAATTCAACAAAAATCAACACAATATAAAATTAACCCTAGATCGAATAAGGATTGAAGATTGGTATTACACAAGTTACAAAACAAATGCTCTGGATGATACTATTCGAGAATCGAGAGAGACAGACGAAATGAGATTCGATATTCGGGCTTTGCAGAAAATCAGATTTGATATAAGAGTTGAGACTTGAGGAGGATGCTGAGTTCTTTGATTGGTTTTGGGGTTGGGGTTGGGAGAGTCTGTGTATGTGTTTAGGAAATTAGGGCTTATAGCATCATTTGGGATTTTAGGTATTTGGGTGTGGGGGGAGTTTTAATTAAATACGTGAGCCTATTCAAGCTCGAAAGCTTGATAAGCTCTCGAGCCTTATAAGGCTCGCGAGCATGTGAGCTGAGTACCACTGTATTTGGTACTCGGTTTGTTAATGAACCAAAGGGTTCGAAATGGGGCTTAAACTCAATCTTCACTCGAGCCAAGCCTAAGTCATTCGTAAACAGCTTGACTTGGGTACACCTATCGGGATTAAGGTTTGAGAGGTTTTGATGAGTGATGATCGATAAAAAGAATAGTGATTGTATGAGGTTGTAACGATGTCGGAATCGACTGACGATTGGTGGGGTCGGCAGTAAAGTGTTATTAAATGTGTTTTTTTAGTAGAAAAATAATATTTTAAAAGTTTTGGGGTGGAAAAATGTCATTCAACTATTATTTGGGTGGGAAAAAGCCATTTACTCTTTATATTAGATATCATTTAATTTGAGCATGATCAAGATTCAAATGGGTTGGCGTGCAACATAAGAGTGACATATTTTTGTTCATTGGAACTCAAATACTAGTAACGTACATAAATCGTATAAAAATAAATATAATTTTTCTGATATTTATAGATATGCAATGCCGAGTGCCGACCATGTGAATCGAGTCAATTGACAATATTTTGTACAAGACATCATGCTATAACAATTGTCATATGTCATTGAAGTAATACCAAAAAGTCAAATAAAAAAACTAAATTTAGCTTCATTAGCTTTGTCTTCCCCCTATGATACAGGGCACCCCTATATTATCGCTTTCAGATGGGCTTTAAAACCCGTTGGGCTTCGGAGCTTTGATGTTAATGGACTTACTTTTGGACCCTTAATCAAAATTATTCCTTCATTATATGAAAGATTATTGCCTATTGTTTTTGCTATTAATTTAGGAGTATTTATAGGCAAACTTTGGATGTGAACTCAAGGGATTGGCCCGACGGTTAAGAAGGTTTGCTTTCTTCATTGATTTACTGAGTTAGAATCTTGGGATCACGTATTACATTTGTGACTTATTTTGAAATATTGAGTTTGTAGGATATTCAATAGGTCTCGAAGATTATAGTCGAAGTATACGTAAATTGGTTCGACCACTCCGATTATTAAAAAAAAAAAAAAAGTTAAGATGTGGTGTGAATTTGTATTGATACAAAAATTAGGTGTGGCCGGCATGGCACTGCTAAGGCATACAAGAGAAAGGTGAAATTTCAAAATTTGATATAATGAAGAGAGCATATCATAATCAAAGAGTCAAACTCTACCTTCATCTTAACTATTAGATTATATATTGGAACACTCTACATCAGGAGACAAAGTCAAAATGTGAACCATAAATAAAACAAAAGTATGTAATTGACAGTTGCAATTTTTTAATTTCAGAACCTTTAAAATATGGATTTATTGTTTTTAAAAGAGTTACATATTCAGCAATCTGCATCAATTGATTCTTTAAAAGCTTGCATTTATATTTTTATACTGCCCATGTCACGATGGTCGGTCACTTACTGCTTACCACATATATTCTCCTGTTTCTTGCCGTTCACTCTACGTAAACACCGGTTGTTACATGAAAATGAGCTTTATGCTTTTTACAAACTTTAGACTTTCAATGATGACTGTTTGTCTGGGCTTCATTTGAATAATTGCATCAGGCCCAGCTCCTACAAATTCTAAATATTCGGGTGCATTGATACATTATTTATACTTATATTCTCAAAATATTGTTTGGTACATTATTTGAGAAATATTAGTATATTTTAATTACTTTTAGATCTCTTAAGTTTATTAATTTTATTAAATACCTCCAGAAAAAAAGTTTAAAAATTAACAAAAACGCCCCCATCCAGGCACCCACCCATACTTGCCAGTTTCTACCAATTCACCAATTTCGGTCGTCAACGGTGAATTATGATTTCATAGTAGATTTGGCCGAAAAAGACTATATCGACACCTTACCGCTAAATCCGACCGGTTTGCATTGTAACGCCATTTTTCGGCCAGATTCCGACGGTGATTGTCGGAATCTGGCACTGTGGTGGGTGAGGGTATTTTTGTCATTTTATAAAATTTTTATATCTTGGGGTGTTTAGTTAAATTAGCAAAGCTAGAGGGTTTTTTGTAAATTTTTAAATTTTACCTCATGATGCTCTCCTATTCAACTACCAAATATTATTCTCAAAATCCTATCCAAAATAATAAAATATAATTAAGAATTAAATGAAAATGAAGATTTTTTTTTATTTTATCAATGCGAGTGTTCGGATGAGCTTACACATATTTCAACAAACTTTTTAGGATTCTAAAATTGTCAATCGGTTAAGAATTATAATGACCACCTCTATTAATAGGTAAGAGGATTTAGATTAAAGGGTTCATAAAACATTCTTTTACTGTTTTTTATCATCAGACCACTAAACCGGTGGTTGCAAATGAAGATCGAAGGCAGTGAGATACACTGGACCGTTCAATTTTTGAACCAAAATAAAATATCGGTACTTCACTTGCCAACTACCTGTT